AGAAAAAAAGAATAATATATCATATATCAGATTCCATCTGCCTCTTAAATAAGGTTTCATTTCCTCTCCATGCAAAAACTTGGGGCCAGAAATTTTTTTTTTTTTTTTAATTTTTTAAAAGAAAAATTTGGGCTGGTAAAATGGCTCGGTGGACAAGCACCTGCTTAAGCAAGCACAGGAATTGGGGTTCAATCCCCAACACCAAATGCTGTGCCCGCCCCGCCCCTGGGCTCACAGAGCACACAGAGACGGGGGTGTGGTGGCACACTCCTGCAATCCCAGTGCTGGGAAGGCTGAAGAAGGAGAATCACTATGAGTCTGAGCTGCTTAATGAGACCCTGTACCAAATACACAAAAAATGTGTCCCTCTCTATATGCCTGGCCCAAGAATGTTCCTCAGTGACATTGGGGAAGCTTCCAGAGTACTGTCTCATATTCTAATAAATAGGCTTTAAATTCTCCTATTCTGAAGTGCTTATCAAACATAAGAGCTGGTACTACTGATTATTCTTGTGTTTGTATATGCAGGGAAGAGCAGGATAGTGAAGATCTGAATCCAGGAAATCCCAGTGTGTATCCTCAACCTTTTTTCTTTAATGTTATTCTGAGATAGGCTCTTAGCAAGTTGCCCAGGCTAGCCTCAAACCTGTGAGCTTCCTCCGTGACCTCCCAAGTAGCTGCAACTGCAGGTGTGTGCCAGTCTCCACCCTGTAAGAACATGTCTTGAGCCAGGCAGGGTGGTACATGCCTGTGATACCAGCCCTTCGGAGGCTGAGGCAGAAGGAGTGTTGCAAGTTCAGAACCAGCCTGGGGTGAAGTGAATTCAAGGCCAGCCTGAACTACATAGAGATACTCTATCTAAAAAAGACAAAAACAGAAAAAGAGCCTGTCTTAAGCTGGTCTGCAGTTCGTTAGTACAGCAGTTGCCTGCCATGTGCCCGGCCCTGGGTTCGGCCCCTGTCACTGGGTGGAAGGGCGTTCTTGATGAAGATGATCGTCCTCATTTGCTGGCCGTGCTAGCCGCTAGCCACTGCATCCCATATGTGCGCCCGGCACTTTCCTTAATCTCCCACAGCACAGATGGCGCCATGATGTTCCATGTAGTACACTCAGTGGAGATTTGGATGTGACCAATGTGCTGCGCAAACCAGCTCTCAGCTCCCATTTAAATGGCGCAGCTTTCAGAGCTACTAAAGTCAGACTTCCCACCCCAGAGCTCCCTTCTGGGTTCCAGACCTAGACAGTGGCTTCCTTACCCCTAAGAGGGCGGGAGCCAAGTGCCTGAGCCCTGAGATCGCAGAAGGAAGAGGACTGTGCCTCCCTCCTGTATTTGCATAGTGTCGCTGGGGTGTTTTCCTAGAACTAAGAATTACCTGCCCTGTGAACATCTCTTTCACGTAAGAGATGGAAAGTGGTTTCCAGCTGGTAGACAGTTGTTCTTTTTGGATTTGGGGAGTTTGTCTTGTTTTATATAATATATGTGGTGCAAGGCCTCACTATGCAGCTCCTCATAGTGATCCTCCTGTTTTCAGCCTCCCCAGTGCTGGGATCACAGGCGTGCGCCACCACACCCAGACTGTTTCATTTTGGTCACTGGTGGTGTGGTGTGCTTGTAATCCCAGAACTCTGGGAGGCTAGGCAAGATCACGATTCAGGCCAACCTGGGTGATTTAGTGACTTAGTAAGACCCTGGCTCAAGCTAAAAAATAAAGGGATGGGGTGTAGTTGAGGGTAGCAGACCCCGGCTCAGTCTCCGGAGGGAGCCAGGAAATTCTCAGACGCCCGTTCAACTCAGGCTGTTTACAGGCGCCATGATGTGAGCTCCGAGATCATGGCAGGCACTCAGAGAAGCGGGCTGTTCCTTTCGCTAACTGCTTGGAAATGAATGATTCTTTGGCTAGCCAGCGATGATGCTACTTCTAGAGGTGTTGAGTACTGAACTCTGAACACCAGTGCATAACTCTTTCAGCACAAGTGTTACATTGTGGCCACAGTTGACCGAGACCTTAAACGGAGGATCCGGAAGATCCCTGGAGTTCCTATCATGTACATTTCTAATCACAGGTGAGAAATTGCTCTTGGGAAAAGATTAGAAGTATACAGTTGATAACAATTAAAATGAAGCTAGTTGGGGCTGGGGAGATGGCTCAGTGGAATAAGTGCTTCCCTGGCAAGCACAAGGGCCTGAGTTCAATCCCCAGTTCCGCCAAAAAGGAACGAAAAAAAAAAAAAAAAAAGATAAAATGAAGCTAGTTGTAAGATTATACAATTTCAAGGAAATTGCTATATCAAACATTCATATGGTTATATTTAAGAATAAGACAAAGTAGCAAGAACAAGGGCAGAAGGAAAGACAAGATTTAGGAATGAAGCAGTCATTCAGACTGTTACAATAAGAATACTAGAACAGTTCAATCCCCGGTTCTGCCAAAAAAGAATGCTAGAACAGATACATGTGCTGCTTTCAGTACAAAGGATTATTTTAAATAAAGCTGATCTCAGGAGGATGTCTTTTTAAAAAAGATTTCTAATAATGTCTCTTTTGAAAACTAATCTTTGATTAGCACTTGATGAGCAAAACAAAAAGCTTATTTTTAAAAATCCCAAAAGTTGGGCAGGGGATTTAGCTCAGTGGTGTAGCACCTGCCTGGCAAGCATAAGGTCCCAATACAATTCGATTCCCAATACAAAAAAAAAAAAATCGAAAGCTGTTTTTCTGCATTCCTGGATGTTTCCATGTCAGTCTTGTCCAGCTGTGCAGCGTGCGGTGGCACAGTGTGCTGAACAGTTGGCTTTCCCTGTGCTCAGATCTTGACTCCCAGCCTCGTAACTTTGTGACATTAAAGAACAAGGATAATATAGTCAACATTTAGCTGAAAGTCATTCACGGCGAGGTTCCACTAGTATCTTACCCCAACAAAAAGGATTCACAGCTGGGATAAGAGAACTGTGGGCAGTAGAGGTTGAGTTTTCAGCCAAGTTCTGTACTCCTCGCCTTTCTTACCAGTGTTTTCTGTCCTAATCAGATACAACATTGAACGGATGCCAGATGATTATGGAGCCCCTCGATTCTGATTCTTATAAGACAAAGTTCCTCTGCCTCCTTCCAACCAACTTTTTGGTTTCAGTTCATTCAGCACGCTATAGCATGAATTATTCACCCACTTGCTGTATTATCAGCGAGAATGGTTAAATAAATTCTCTTTTTGATGCTTTCTGAAAGTAGTCATTTGTCTACTTTAAAATTTGTTGCACCTTTTTGTAAATCGGGTGGTCCAATGGCTGTTTACATAATTCGATTTATTCAACAATCATTGGAAGATTTAGGGCCACCGGATCCTGCATAGACCCAGAGCACAGGCCTGGTGTGTGAATGAGACCGCCTGGGGCCCACTGGATCCTCATTTCAACCCAGAGTGCAGGCCCAGCGTGGAACCCTTCAGCACAACTCCCTGCAAAGAGGCTAGAGGCAAGACCCACCCAGCTGATTCAGGAACTGAACATCTTGCCAGAGTGACACAAAGGGCTCAAATCTAACAGCTGCAGCAGAAAGAAGTGGACCACAGCAGCCAGATCCAAGCAACACCCACCTGGAGGAATCTGAACTTCGTAGATCGGACCTGGTGCTAAGGTAGTAACTCTGTCTAAGCTCTACACCAAAGGTCAGAAGACAGTGGTATACAAAATGACAAAGAGAAGGAACAAAATGCAGTCTCAGGCCCCGAGTCCACCCAGTACAAAT